AAGATGAAGGCTTACAGAACAAAATAGTTTCTCATTTAACAGTTACTACAAATGTTGCCCTATGACAATGGTTAACAATCTCACAACACATGAACAATATCCTTACTCAGCCTGGGGTTCCCTATTACCAGCTTCCTTGTCCCCTTCTGCCTTCTGGCCCTTGTCACTGGACTCCTGTACCTTGTTAGTCTCATTTGGTTTTACGGGGCTGTCCACTCCCAGGCTGAATGAACAGTGAACCTCGGAGGTAACTTTACCACAGAGCTAAAAGGGTGTCTGGGGGCCATACTCTTGGGGTTTCTAGTTAAATCTTTTTTTGCAGGGGAATAATTAAAGTGAACTTGAATTTTTGGTAACAAAAGAAGTATTTACATCCTACTATAACATGTGAGGAGCCCTGGTGGTGCAGTGGTCAAGAGCTCGGCTGCTAACCAAAAGGTCGGTAGTTCACATCTACTAGCTGTTCCTTGGAAACTCTATCGGGCAGTTCTCTGTCCTATACGGTCACTCTGGGTCGGAATCAACTTGATGGGCAATAGGTTTGTTTTGGTTTTTGGTATAACACGTGAGCCCCAGACCTTTCTTTGCCTGGAACGTAGCTTTCTTGACACCTACTTTAAGAGTCCGCAACCATACAAATATCAGAGGTATAGACAGTAACTGATAATTTAGGTTCTTCTGTAGTAGGTTTTCAACTAGCAGATACATCAGAATAATCAGATGGAAGCTTATAAAAAATATTTATGCTTACCCCTCCCACCCCTAGACCTGCAGGGGTATATCAAAATCTTGGGTAGAAGGAGGTCAGTGCATTTAGATAAAGCCCTCTGGATTATTCTGATAGGTGCCTTCCTTCTCTGCCTCAGTTGGGAATCACTATTCCAATGTAATGGAATATGGTATATCACTCAGAACAGGTTAGGAGGGAATGGAAGAATTATAAACCAATATTCTTTACATAATAATAATAAGCAGAATGAAATATCAAGAGTTTGAATTCAGAAGACTTAGAAATGGTATGTAGAAAGGTAAGTAGACAGTAGAGTACCAAGGATAAATCTGCTATCACATTTTTCCCCTACAGCCTTAGTAATGAAAACTGTCCACTGAAAATTATCTAGCGTGCTATGATAAGCATTTGAAATTATCACACTAAAATATAAGAGAGATGCTAATTAATGAATACTGGAAAATAGAATTTATATTCTAATGTATCCACTTTGGTGTTCCACCACAAGTAACACTGATAAATTGCACAATGACCTGGGTATTTTGATGACTGATTATTAAAGTGAATAAATGCATAATACAGAATCTTCACGGATCTTCAGTCCCTCTCAGCAACTTTACTTAGTTTTCTTTAATTTCACTCACACCTTGTTCTTTCTAGAAGAAACATTTAGTAAATCTATGTTTTGTCGATGTTCAGTATTTCTTTGGTATACGCACAGGAGTCATGCCTGCACTTTAACATACAGCATTCTAGATGGTTCCTTGCACAGGTAGACATTTAATACCAGTCCCTAGGTTCTTGATTCATTGCTATGAAAGCTCATCCTTCAACTGTAATGTTACAGAGAAGACACATTGGATAATGAGGCACTTCTTTACTAACATCAAAGAATCATATCAAACTTTCCTAAATAAAATCACTTGTAAACTACAGAAAGAATTAAATACATCTCTCCTACACTGCACCTAGAAAGACATTCTGGCCAAAAAGAGTACAAACTATATCATTTCATTTTAGCAAACCCATTACTCTGCCAGTTCATGCCTAATGATCTGAAACAACAGTAACCCAGTAACTCAAGAGGTGAAATGTGTATACAGGTAATCCCCAGTTACAATGGGGTTCCGTTTTGACAACTACTCCATGGTAAGTCGGTTCTGACATAAGTCAAATGCTTCATTTTTTTTTTTTAAGTTTTCTTTATTATTATCAGTATCTTTATAAAGCCGATCTTTGTCTTTGGAGATTGGAAACATTACATATAAACTTACAGATACACGCTGCAACACTGTATGTAGTACATATTACTAACAATAAGATGTACAAAAAAACAAAAACAAAAACAAAAAAAACCTGGATGGTCCTAAGTGTGGTTCTTTGTAACTTGAATACGTTGTTAAGTTAGGGACTACCTGTACTTCTTCACTTTCTTGACTCCCATATGAAAGGTTATCAATTTCTCAAAGCTATGAGAGAAGAAAAATTGCCCCCAAATTACAGAATTTTTAAAGTTTACGAACAGGCACTAATTCTACATGTATACATAGAAATGTCCAAATTTGTTTTAATCTTAATGATGCTACCTTTAGATCCCTGGAGTCATTAAGATCCTTAAGTTTTCAGGGTTGCTCCCTATATGTCTCTCTAGTGAACACATACAAATAAAGGCGACATGCTCTAACATTATTTATATTGTTGTTGTCATTGAGAATATAAACAGCAAAACACACAGCAACTCAACAGTTTCTACACGTACAATTCAGTGACATTGATTTACATTCTTTGAGTTGTGCAACCATTCTCACACACCTTTTCTGAGTTGTTCCTTCCCCATTAACATAAACTCACTGTCCCCTAAGCTTTCTATGTAATCTTTCGAGTTGCTGTTGTCAATTTGATCCCATATAGATAGTTCTTAAAAGAGCATAATGGTAAAAAGACTCAGTAAATACAAAAACAATAGCAAATGAAAGGAAAAGAAAACCCATATACAAAAAGAACTCATCCCAGAAGGAAGAATAACCATGAACTCCATAAAAAGGTGCAACAAAATGGCAGCAGTAAATCCACACCTATCAATTATAATCATGCTGAATGTAAATGGATTAAACCCACTAGTCCAGAGGCAGAGAGTGGCAGAATGAATAAACAAACATGATCCATCAATATGTTGTCTAACAAGAGACACCTTGTGATACAAAGACACAAACAGGTTAAAAAATCCAATGATGGAAAAAAATATACCAAACAAACAGTAACCAAAAGACAGCAGGAGTGGCAATATTAATATCACAAAATAGACTTCAACTCAAAATCCATTATAAAAGACAAAGGAGGACACCATATAATGATTAAAGGGTCAATTCACCAAGAAGACATTAACAGTTATAAATATTTCTGCAACAGTGCCAGAGCTCCAAAATTTATAAAGCAAACTCTAACAGAATTGAAGAGAGAAATGGACAGATCTACAATAACAGCAGGAGATTTTAACACATCATTCTTGACAATGGACAGAACTAGAAAGAAAATCAGCAGACACAGAAGACCTAAACAACACTATCAACTGGACCTCACAGACGTATATGGAACACACCACCTGGCAGCAGAAAAATACACATTCTTCCCCAACCCACGTGGAACATTCTCTAAAATAGATCATATTTTAGGCCATAAAGCGGCCTCAATAAATTTAAAAAGACTGAAATTATACAAAGCATTTTCTCTGACCATAACAGTATTGAACCAGAAATCAGTAACATGAAGAACAAGGAAAATAAATTAAACACATGGAAACTAAATAATACATTACTAAAAAAAACTATTAGGTAAGAGAAAAAATCAAAGTGAAATTAAACAAGAATGAAAACAGAACATACCAAAACCTTTGGGATGCAGCAAAAGCAGTATTCAGAGGGAAATGTATAGCAGTAAATGCATACATTAAAAAAGAAGAAAGGTCCAAAATAACTTAACCCAACAACTCAAACAAATAGAAAAGAAGACCAAAGCTGCGAGAAGAAAGGAAAAAATACAGACCAGAGCAGAAATAAATGAAATAGAGAACAGAAAAACAACAGAAAGAATCAGTAAGACTAGAAGTTGTTTTCAATAAAAGAGAAAAACCACTGGCCAAATTGGCAAAGGAAAAAAATGAGAGGATGTGAATAACCAAAATAATAAACGAAGTTGGAGACATCACAACAGATTCAACACTGAGATAAAGATCATAACAGAATACTATGAAAAAACGTATTCCAACAAATTTGAAAACCTAGAGGAAACAGATAAACTTCTAGAAACATACTACCTACCTAAACTAACACAAATAAAGGTAGAAAATTTAAATAGATGAATAACAAAAGAAGAGATTGAAGATTTTATCAAAAATTCCCAACAACAAAAGAAGTTCCAGCCCAGATAGCTTCACTGGGGAATTTTCCCAAATATCCAGAGAACAGCTAAAACCAATTGTTCTCAAACTCTTCCAAAACATAGAAAAGGAATACTCTCCAACATTCTATGAAGCCAGCATCACCCTGATACCAAACCCAGATAGACACCACAAAAAAAGAAAAGAAAATCACAGACCAATATCCCTCATGAATACAGACACAAAATTCTCAACAAAATTCTAGGCAACAGAATTCAACAGCATATCAAAAAAAAAAAATCATATATCTTAATCAAGTGGGATTCTTACCAAGAATGCAAGGATGGTTCAGTATTAGAAAATCAATTAATGTAATTCACCACATAAATAAAACAAAG